CCTACCTTATTGAAGTATCACATTGTTCGCGAGCATGTAGGCCTTGCGTCGATCGAGCAGATGCATTAAAATCTGAATTTTGGTTTACATATAACAAGATGAAAAAATGATACAGCGTTAAGAATACATTTCCGATAAAATCGTAAATGAACTTTCGTGAAAGTGCATCCATCTTATCGAAAAATTATGTAAAACGTTTGAATATTTTGCGACTAATCCTGGTCTTTTAGAAAAGCAAAGCGAATTTTGATCTGATAATAAGAATTTTTTTTATTAAACTATGGAGAGATTATATGAGCGATATGGTGGGGGGATACGAGATTTTGTATAAGTTTGCACTACTTTTTCGAGAAATAATGATTGTAAAAAACGTTCAGTTAATTCTTCTGTTATTAAGTTACCTAAATGTTAATAAATGCAGCATAAATTATATTGATTTATTAAATTCAAGTTATACATTACATTGAATTATTGTGTTATGGATAATATTGTAAAATATATGAAATTTGTTATTTTATAACGCAAGAGAATATATATTATATATTTTATGTGTATTCTATAATCATAGTTTTGTGGCTTATTTTGAATAATAAAATTGTATTATATAATATGGTTGCGATTTATAAAAGTACTATTAAATATTAACATTTTTTGTAAATTATATGATTTGAATATAAATTTTTTTGCAATTATAACAATAATTGCGATATTTGGTTCAAATAATTATTGTTTATGTAACATTTTCTAAAATTAGTTAACAATTTTCTAAAATTTTATATGTATTTTATATCACTCTATTTTTACATGCGTCCTGCGATATATTTGTGCAAAAACATGGTGCTATACTGATTTACTCTACATCTATATATACATGAATTACTTTCTTTTCTTTTCGAGATTTATAAATTAAAATTTCCTTTCTAATAAATGTTGTACATTTATTACAATATGTGATGAAATCAGATATAGTTGTATTGATGCAATAAATTGATATGCATTTTTTAGCAAGAAATTTTCATGATTAATCTCAATTATCTTTTCTGATACTATTCATCGATAAATTGTATTAATATTCATACTTCTAGTTTCCATTTTTTAAGCATTTCCTCGAATTTAAATCAATTTTGATAAAGATTGTAAAATAAAAATTTTATTTTTTATTTCAGATATTTCGTAACGCAACGAGTTCAATTTGGCGTTTACGTGTTCGTGATATCGTCGTTGTATCTCTCTGTGTTCCCCGCGCGTTTCGCCAACTTTTATCGGAGAACATAAAAACTCTTCTCTCGCGAAAGTGGCTTTTGACCATTCTAATACTCTTGCGTCTAATTTGTAGGATTCGATCCGGCCGCGCAGCAATCCGAGGATCTTGGAGAATACG